TGTTAGTTTTGTTGTTGTGCTTTGATAAGACTGGGAAATAAGGCAAATTTTGGAGCACCACATATTGGTTGGTGTGATGTCTTAGCGATTTTTACGGACTTAATATAGGTAGAAGTAAATGTAGATGATGTAGATAATAGTTTGAATCGATGGAAAATCATGTCTGTTTTACCTTAGGTTTCTACTTTAAAATCAGTAACAATCAATTCAACAAATTGCTAAACAAAACACCACAAACTTTGTTTTTCCAACACCCCCGGCCACTCTAAAGATCCGAAGACTTTCATGTTTAACTGTCAATCCTGAGCAATACGAGCGAACTTAACTTTCTGTGCGATTTTACGCTCTTCACTTAGGGGCCGACCATTTAACTCTTGAGGGGGAGGGGGCCAAGGAGCCACTTCAAGCAAATAACCACAATAATTTGGTATGGAGACAGTTTACGAAGGATATGAAAACATGAAGACAATTATCTTTACGTCGAATTCAAAGAAAGATATCTGTCGATCAAATCAGTTAGACTTTCTGCGTCTCCTTTATGGACTGTAAAACAGTAATTCTCCGAAAAGCGAACATTGTCAAAATTTCCTTGAAGAAATGCAATCCCTTTTTTCCCTACTCGCCCGTCTAGTTTTCCGCCAGATTGCGAAAAAGGGCCATAAATAAGGTAAAAAAGTCGACCGGAAGAGTCCCGAGAGGAAGCTCGATCATTTAACCGGAAGTCCCTCTTCATTTTACCAAACTACCGCTGACTAATTAATTGAGTAACGAAAACTCACCCTCCCTCAACGCCCGTGGAAAATTGTCACCCGTTGTGAACGATGAAGAGGCAAACTCGTTCCCAGGGTTCTCTCTCTTGCTTCGAGAAACCATAGTTGAGGCTGGTCACGTGGCTCAGAAAATACATTGAGGGAAAGAAGGGGAAATAATTGTTGCTTTGTCAAAAGTTACTCTGTCGGTAGCCTGAATTTCATCCGATTACTTCGAGTCGTTATTGCTCCCTCAGTAACTGCTGAGAAGAGAAAACGACTCGAAGTAATCGGATGAAATTCAGGCTACTCTGTCGGGGCCTGAGAGGAGTTTGCCGCCTCGTTAACTATCAACTGAAGGCGCGGGTATTTAAAAATGTCAACAACACCCGAAAAAATAGTATTGCATAATGCAAGTGAAAGAACTCTGGGAACAAGGTTGGCCATTTACGTGGTATATCGTGCACCAGCCGATGAATTAACCAAAGCTGAAAATCAAGGACATAATAATCTTTAAACTTCCGTCTGGGTGGTGCTTCGTGTTAAAAAAAAAAAGGTTAAAGGCATGTTTATAGTGGAAGGTGCACTTAGCTAGTCAGCTAATTTACAGGCACTCCACTCAAATATTTAGAAACAAATAATTCAAATACAACATAACAGGATTAAAAACCCCAACTGGCAGAAGGCAACCAGTTGGCTATTTACAAGCGTGGCCGAGAATTTGAACTCGGGACGACAGAACACAAATCCAGCAAGTGGCCAGAGCGGGACTCGAACCCGGGACCGCCGGATTGCGAGTGCGACGCGCTGACCACTCGGCCACGCTGCCTCCACAAGTCGTGTAAACCTGACTTTTGCATTATATTTTCCTTTTCATGAACTGCACGTGCGGCTTGTGCAAATTTACGAAAAGCTGATTTTGCATGAGCAAATCGAGCAAGATTTTCCGTATCCTGCTGTTGGCTGGACGGCAAGCAAATCTTCTTTCAACTACAAACCCTAAAAAAATAACCTTATTTGCTTTCAAAATAAATGTATCGTAACAAGCCGAAAGCAACCCATCCTTGGAGACCTCTCTCCTACGCAGAGGCCGCTTTGAATTGTGGGGAGGCTCGGGAGAAAGAAAAAGAGAGCGACGATGCCCCCCGCGCGCGTTCTACTTTTTCGATTATTGCTATTTTTATAGGGATACTTAGCGGGAGCCTCTGCAGAGGAGAGAGCCTGGAGACCCAGAGGTAGTCCCCTGAGATGCTACTCTTAACAAACCCGTTCCACGACTCATTCGAATCAGCTTCTCTCTGATTGGGCACAAAAAGTATTTTTGTGTCCAACCGAAAATTCTTTTGTTTTTTCGACCAATCAGACAAAAGAAGGCCAGGGCAGTTGAGGACATATTCAAAGTTTTTGCGAAACTAGTATTCCAAGGAAAGTTATCTGCAGCTATTAAGCTTTTGGATAGCGAGAGCTCAACGGGCTTACTCAACCTTACACCAGAAGTCCTAGAAGGGCTGAAGGAGAAACACCCGGAAGAGGCAGATATCGCGGATGAGAGTTTATTATACGGGCCCATTAATTACATTCCTGCGGGCGTTTTTGACTTGATCGAGGAGAAAATGATCTTTGATGCCGCAACCAAAACAAAGGGCTCACCAGGGCCGTCGGGGAGGGATGCTGAGCTATATCGAAGAATCCTTTGCTCCAAGAAGTTCAAAACTGAGGGCAAGATTTTGAGAGAGGAGATAGCCGTTTTCACAAGAAATCTGTTAAAGATCGCTTACCATCCATCTTTGCTGGAAGGCTATACCTCTTGCAGACTCATCCCCCGGGACAAAAACCGTGGAATACGACCTATAGGCGTTGGTGAGGTCCTGAGGCGAACAGTTGGAAAAACTATTGCTGGATTTTTGAAGAAGAGATCAAAGATGCAGCGGGCCCCCTTGAGGTTTGCGCAGACCATAGCGCAGGGTCAGAGGCCGCGATACATGATATGAGTCAAGTGTTTGTTGAGGAAGGAAGAGATGGTATTTTACTGATAGATACAAGCAACGCCTTTAACCAAAGGAACAGATCCGTCGCCTTACATAACATCCAGATAACCTGCAAGGAAATATCACTTTACATCATTAACACCTACAGAAGCCCTTCGAGGCTCTTCATTTGCGACGGAGGTGAGATTATCACGGGAGGGTACGACGCATGGGGATCCCTTGGCCATGCCCTGGTACTCGGTCAATACATCAGTCATGACCCAGAGCTTAAGGACAGGCACAAGAGGTGTTAAACAAGAATGGCTAGCCGACGACTCTGAGGAGGGTGGACAAATTGTGCCGCTGGTACAATCACCTGAGTCAGTGGTATCGTTATTTAGTGAATGGATCAAAGAGCTGGCTGATTGTCAAGTCGAACCTACTTACAGATGAGGCAAAGAGAGCGTTCAGAGATGAGGTCAATATTACAACTGAAGGTCAGCGCCACTTAGTTAGGGGCCGTCATCGGATCTCAAGAGTTTAAAGATCAATATTGTAGGAAAAAGGTCCTTGGATGGAAAGGAAAACTCGAAGCACTATCTGTGATAGCAAGGAGACAAGCTCATGCAGCCTACACTGTTTTCACGAACGGTTACAAATTCAAGTTAACCTATTTCATGCGGACAATAGAGTCGTTTGAGGATTACGTTGACCCAATCCAAGAGGCGATCGACGACTTACTTCTCCCAACACTATTCGCTCAAACGGAGCCCTCGTCACTCTGACACCCGCTCAAGGAGGGCTGGGCGTACCCGACTTACGGTTTGAAGCTCCACAGCAGTTTGCTGCTTCTACATCAATAACAGCAACCCACGTAGATTCTATTACCACACAGAGTATGTTCATGGGGAAAAGCGAGAATCCCACGGAGGAGTTAAAAAGACAACATCAAGCCTTGAAAACTGTGTCGGTGAAATCGAGAATGTATTGATTCCACTATACCCTCGGATCTGCTGAGGGCAGTTAACCAATCGAGAGACAAGGGTGCGAGCTCATGGCTTACCGCAGTGCCTCTTGATCAAGGCTTGGTGCTGAATAAACAAGAATTCTGAGACTCGCTGCGTTTAAGGTATAATATATAGATTTAGCCAGGGCTAAAAGTGAAGCTCTCGATAATATTTATAGTTTGTTCAAACAAAATATAAAATCATGTAATGCTAATCGGCGAAGGCAACGCCGGAGAACGGTGAAAAACAACAATAGGTCTAATTAGCAAAAAAGCAACTTTGCACGTGCAGCACACTTTTTTTGTACATTAATTTCTTTGCCGTTGTTTTGCACGACTACAACGTGAAACTTCCAGAAACTTCTTAGTTACACGTTTTTTTCGTTCACTTTTTTTTTCACTGCCGCTCATTTATACCTTGCATCGGTGGCCGCTAGCATTTCTCATTTTGTCACCGCCGTTACAAAATTTTAATGTTGTTCTTCCAACAAAAAAATGTCTCCTTTGTTTTTTATCTCTCGCTCTAAATCCCTGTCACCCTTTTTCTTTTCTTTTTTGCCGCGGTAAGAGCCAAAATTCACTTATATCTTTTGCTCGTTTTAAGTTTTGTAAATCCTCCTTCGTTATTTCTTTTGCCCTTATAACCTTGCCCTACTAATGTTTGATAGACTTTCTGAGGACCAGCGCCAGGCGCTGAATATAGTTCGAGAGGGACATATTAGGGCCATTTATACGAGGAAAAATAAGACGCGTCTTAAATAAGACGCGTCTTATTAGATAAGACATACTCGTATAAATGGTACAGTTCGCGTCTTATGTAAGACGCGTCTTATTTTTCCTCGTATAAATGGCCCTAATATCTTTATAACAGGCCAGGGTGGTACGGCTAGGAAGAACAATTGCCTTCTATCAAGTATTTTTTCAGCAGGGTAGGGTGGCTTTGGGCAAATGATGTATCGGTCCCCAGAAAGGTCACCTCAGGACTCCCTGGATGGTTTTTTTTGTACAGTGCCCAGGCCTCATTTTCCTGGCCGCGCGTTGATCTGGACCGGCTGCTTCGGCGAGCATATTCTCGGTCTGTTTGGATTATATCCTTCGAGTCAACAACACCGAAGAACCGAAACACTGAACCACAAAAGCGTATAAAATGGCGACAAATTAAGCCCAAAGTATACTAACATAATTCACAGTGAGGTGAGTGAAGTTTTGTTTCCACATTCATGATATAGTTGTAGGTATATTACATGGTTTTAGTAGTGAATGTCCCAATCACGATGCATAAGATATGCATATCATGGAGTCATTCGTGCATTCGCACCGGTAATGTTGTTTTAGATCTGCCAAACTTTGCCTAAAACTTTTCATGTGTAGCCTTTTTTGTCTTTTTATTATAATTTCGAGTGCATAGAGGTCCTAAATCCAGTGAAATCAGGCCGATAAGCTCAAAAATAAAAGAATTTGGAAAGAAAGTCGAAGAGTTTCCAATTCACTGCAATTCCTGGACGTATGGTTGTTCCGTTACTATAAAAGGTGGATTGAACTGTGACGGCTACTATTAATTTTTTCAAAACATTTTCGGTTTTGGCGCGGTGGCTTCGAAACTCTGAGCACAACTGACAGCTCTTGTTCGGCATTAATAGGGCCATTTATACGAGGAAAAATAAGACGCGTCTTACGTAAGTCGCGTCTTAAATAAGACCCGAACTTTCCGTATAAACGGCACATTTCGTCTAAAATAAGACGCGGCTTAGCTAAGACGCGTCTTATTAGATATAGATAAGACATGCTCGTATAAATGGTACAGTTCGCGTCTTATTTAAGACGCGTCTTATGTATGTCTTATTTTTCCTCGTATAAATGGCCCTAATATCAGTACAGAAGTTCATGGCGCAGGACGAAAGCTCGATGATGTTTCATCCACATGTGGACCAAATGTTGTGGTTGAACAATATTCTAAGCAAAACATACTTCTGCGATACTAGGTTACATCATGAACCTCCGGCGTCGATTTTTTTTCATTTAAGTGTCATTTTGAATTTCTGTGACATTTATTTAGGCGTGCACGGAGCATATGATAAGACGATGCGTTCCCTGGGGCTAACAGCTAATGACAACGCTAAAGACTTTTCAACCATTCTTGAGTTTTCAAGTTTTTGTAAAAACACAAAGTTTGATTATCATGCATTTTATCCCAAGTGGAAATATGAACCCAAGCCCTGCAAAGATAACCTCACGTGGGACTTGAAAGACAAAATGTGTTTGAGAAGGAAGCCGCCGGTCAAGGAATGTAGTTTGGATATGAATTTTTAATTAAAAATAAAAAAAAAACGATTGAGGGCCGTGGTGGTGGTCAAGAAAAAAAAAGCATTTCTCTCCTCTGAGAAACAAACTCTATTTTCATTTCATTCCAAGCAAGTAAATCTGAACATCAGATATACGTTCGAGCTCCCTTTTATCTCTCCCACATATGCCGCCGATGTATGTCGCAGGTGTATCGGCGGCATATGAGAACCAGGCTTAACGTAACTACGAGAAAATGACTGGGCAACCGACAATTTGACTAACAATAAACGACTGCTCAACTGTGACAATAGACGGATCGAAACGCACTAATGACATTGTTCTCTAATCACTCTGCAGTGAAACGAGAATAAATTATTTTCACTCTAATATACAACAACGAAAACAAAATCAGGAATAGTCATCTCGTTTATTAGATAGTAACACCTACAGCAAAGCGGGTGGCATAACTAAGAGTGTAATTTGAATAACTTAACATCTCGCACCATAGTTATTAGCTCGCACCCAAACCACGTAAGGGCTTTAAATGACTCGCCAAGCACTCAAGGGTCTGGATCATCAAAATCTAGTTAGTTCTAATATAGTTAGTAGAGGGGACTGGTTATGAAAGTCGGCAATCTTCAAAGCGCGAAACAATAGAGCCGTCTCTGATGTTGAACGTACCTTAAACGTGATCGCGAAGGTGCACAAACCCAAACACACTTTCAAATAATGGCGGATGGAGGAGACGACTTATTCTTATACTTATGGTTCCAGAGCTCCCAAAAAACACGAATAACACAGACAAACGTTAAGAACGTGATAAACTAACAGTTCGAGTACGTCCCAGTGGAAATACAACGACCACTACATCTGCAATTTCAAAACTAGTCCCCGTAGACTCATAAAGTTTTAACAGGCATAAACATCAATAAAAGAGATCTTTTATATAACTCCAGCTAGAGCCACTATAGTGCAAAAGTCCACTTAATATGCAAAACGGACGCGGGGTGTTTTCCCATGGGTAACTTTTCCTTTATTTTCTGCAGGCACGAATAGAACCATCAAATAAAAGACGAATTGTGTGACAAAAAGCATTTTATTTTCAGCGTTTCCGCTAACAAATACTATAAAATGAAAAAAATGAACAAAAAGATAGTCTTCTTTAGTCGACCTCAAAAACACAAAGACTAATGGAAAAGATACTTTTATTTGAAACATCACTTTCTTTAAAATTCTTCAGAAGAAGAATATTGTCGACTCTAAGTCTAGCTTCGATGGATCCGATTTTGTCCATAATGTTTGACACTCTTAAGCTACGTCTGGGCTGCCTGTGTTGGTACTAGCTCACCAGCAAATGCTGCAGGGATTGGAGAGGTGTGTTTCTACATTAGTGAAAAATGCATTGTAAAATACAAGACCTAAATCTGAAATATTGAAGGAAAAGAAAGCTTAGGCTTTTTTATTGCCAGGGCTTACACACATAAACAATTATTATAATAACCCAGAGCAATTGACCGACGGACTGGACGCTTGGTTACACTAATCGTATAAGTAAATATGTGGCGCGATATTGCTTTGTTTTTCAGGGGTTTTTTGTTCCATCCAGTGTAAATGCGACTGAGCTCTACAAGATCGCCCGTCTTTCTGGTCTCAACAACCCAATGACTGGCAATGGTCTATAACAAGAGACGAGTCGTAATTGTTGCCCTTATCTTCGCTTCAGCTTGGTCATGGATGGCTTTTGTCTACTTCACTATCACTTTCCATAATCAGGAACGCCCATCAGAGCTACAAAATACGCCTGCCTGGGCAAATACTACCCCCATAGTCCTTATGGCCCCAGTTAAAAATCAAACAGAAATCAACGACACAGACGACTTGGATATAAACGAAACTCTCCATCAACTGATTGATTTTAAAGACTTGGGAAGGAATAAGAGAGCAGTATTGCTATTGATCATCGTTACCACTGCACCAGCAAGATTTGAAAGAAGACAGGCAATAAGGGAAACATGGTGGAAACATTGTTCTGGCAATCAGGCTCAGGTAAGAAGGCAAGATAGATTCTTTGTCGCCAGTTATCTCACGATCTCACGATGACGTTACTTTCAGTTATTCATAGCGAAATTTCTTACCAACGACGAAGACGACGGTAGCAAGCAAAAATCAACGGGTTTAGATTAGCAAAACAACAACTTTGCACGAGCAACACCCTTTGTTTTTTGCACTTTCTTTATTTTCGTTCAACGACCTCGACGTCAAATTCCTTATTTCCCGTTTCACACCGAGGACGTGAACAAGACACCGATTCTGAACTTGGATACAGTCCTTTTGGAATACACCCCAAGAGAAATTCACCAAAATTTGACAATGAAGGTGGCTCGATACAGTTTTTCAGGATCAGGGCCTCCCAAGTTTGACCATAAACGACGTCGCCATAAACAAAGATTTGAAAAAATTGCCACCACAGTTGTCTTAGATAAAGATGAAAATTTGTTATGATCAGGGTTCACGGCAACGACATCGGACTTGTCATAGCAACGAAATGACGCTATTACCTATTTTACTTGCAGCAATATATCTCGGCACTAGGAACTGTTCCTCCAATAGCGACCTCGATGTTTGTCAAGTTTAAGCGAAATCTGTGAGAGCGTTATCGAGATATTATGGGATGAAGTCGTTATGGCTAGAAACACCGTTAAAAATGGACAACCTTGATGTTTGGCCGTTATCTGTAGAAAACGAAGCGCTTTTGACATGCAATTTCACCTCGTAGTAGTTTCAATCTTTTTGAAAACTGGTGTGAAAGATCATGGAGATAGCTCCAGCCGATTGCTAGAAAGAAGGATTTGATTACTATGTATCGAAGCGCCCTTGTTAGCGGTTTTGTAAACATTTTGGTTTTCTTTAACAAATTGGCGAATAATTTTCAAACCGCTCGACTGAATTTTTTAGAAATTTAAGATTCTTGAGATTAACCTTCCTTTTACAAGATTATTGATACATTGTAAGGTAGTAAAATGAGGGCTACAATTCGTTAATTTTTTATTGGAAGTCTCGTCATTACAAGTGAAAGCCTCTCATTATTCAAGGTATTGGCTACGGTCACATCTACGACGTAACTAAAGTTTAACTTAAGTTAGTGTCAAGTTACTTGATGTCATACCTAACTGTAGTTAGTGCTTTCGGTCGACATTGCGGTAATACTACGCAGTTAACAACAGTTAGTTCTAATTAGCCTATGTAAATTCGCTTCACGCTTAGTTTTTGTTTTGCACATTTATATACGCTCATCTAGCACGTGCGAAAAGAAGGGTCACATTCTGATTGGTTGTTTGTCTGTAAACTTAAGACTAACCCACGAACCCCGCTTGGGTATAACTATAGTTAGTCTGTATTGTTTTGGATCACCGAGGCGTAAATTTTCTAACTATAGTTAGAGCGAACAGAGAAGCAGACACATTACCGAAATAGCTAACTATAGTTATCCCCGTCACTATAGTGAGCAGCCCAGATGTGACCGCAGCCATTGTCTCTAAGTTTCATTTTCGCGTGAACAGTAGTAACTAACAATGCATTTGAAATATGCAAAAATGCTAGCTATTGTTGAGCACGAAATTATGAAACTTGGATACAATACCCCTAAATAATGAGAGGTTCTCCCCTGTAAACACAAAATTTCTGACAAAAATTTAGCGAATTGTAGCCCTTATTTTTCTGCCTTACAATAAATCAATAAATTTGAAACTAAGAGGTCATATAAAAGGAAGGCTAATCTCAGAGAATCTTAAATTTTTAAAAACAACTATCCAGTGGTATAAAAATTATTCGCTAATTTGTTAAAGAAGAGCAAAATGCTTAAAAACCGTTGTCCGTTTTATAAGATATACATCAAAATCGCGTGAAAGTAATTTGCGTTTTCCATAGCTTCTTAGCATGGGAAAGTACAACGTTTAGAGCTGTACACAGCATGCATTTTATCACAGTATCACTGT